AGTCCGTGTTTCAAATATGTCCATCCTTCGGGTAGTGCGCATTGCACTCCTTGTGTATACAAATACCCGTCCCCTCCTCCCTCCTCCCCCCTACTTGAAATTTTTGATTATAGGATTGGTGCCTTTCCTGCCTTGATCTGGGATCTAGCACATATTAGGCATCCCAATAAACGCATCTAGCAAATATCTGACATACATTAGGAATCTAGTAAATGTTTGCTGAGATAATTGCAGTTGTAAAAGTAAGTGATGATAGCTTAGACTATGGCAGTAGCAGTGAGGATAAAAAGAAGTGAAAGATTGGGAAGATATTTAAGAAGCAGAATGCAAAAAAGTTGGTGATAAATTAAATCTGAGGTGGAATGGGAGCCTGTATGGGGGAAGGAGGTGTCTTGAAAGATTGCCAGATTTTTAATTTGTGTAACTAGTAGCCACATTGACCACCCAGCAGTGATGCCATAGAACTGACCCAAGGCACACATCATCTGCTTCTGTGACCCACAGAGGAGTGGTGAATCAATTGCTCATGTTTCTTGTTGCCCAGTCTCTCACTCATCCTTTTGTAGTGGATCATGTGGCTATTTCTTGATCTTTATTTGTTGCTCCTACTGCATGTTTTTATTATGAACCAAGAGGAAAAAGAGAATGCTCAGGCCTGCACCTGAACCATTTGGTCGATGTCCACCAAAACTTCGAAAATTTAATTCACTTATGACTGCTTTCCTTTTCATTAGCCCCAAATCCAAGCTCTTCTAGTCATCTTTTCTATTTCTTCGCTCATTCCACAATGTGCTGAACTATTTCCCTGGCCCAACTTCTCTCTCCTTTGCTCCCTCTGAACTCTTAGATTATGACTTACACCATGATCAACATCTTCATTGAGCCTCAGCCCCTTCACTGAATACTCCTTCTTCCCCTTCTCATAGACTCAACTAAAAGTTGGTTTTCTCCTGAGGTCATTTATCTTATAGCCTCTAAAAGTGGAGCATGCTGATTTTCTCACCTCTCCAGCTGATTAACCAGCTTCTGGGTTGGCAGGTGGGATTCTCGTCTTCCTTGCTCTCTAAATACTATTACTCTTCCATCATCCTGTAACACCCCTACTCATTTCATGATCCCTTCCCTAGTAGTAACATCTTTCTACTCTTTATCATACCATTCATTTACCAATCTCTTGAATGTTCCTTTTCTTTCATTAATGACTTTGGTATCTATCTAGTTGGTGGACTAGCTCTCAATCACATCACCTTCCATTTCTGATTTATGCTCCAACTTTCACTTTTTAGAGGTAATTTCCCTAAATTTCTAAGTAACTTGATTGTAGTGCTACTTCTTGACTCCTCTCTCCTCCTCCATTCTGGAGTAACCTTTTGGGAATGCCACTTCTTCTTGCTCCGTGCTTTTCTAGCTATAATCTTGGAATGTATCTTCATCATCATCCTGTGAATTTTGCATTTGTTTTCTGTGTTATATTCACTATTTTCTGGATGCCGTATATTTTTCTTTTCAAATTTATTCCTTCGGTTTGGTGGAATATATTGTCCATTCACTTGCTGAGGACGGATTTATGGTATGTACATTTTTTGAGGCCTTCCATGTCTAAAGCTGGCTCTATTTTACCCACAAACGATTGAAAGTTTGGCTGGATACAGACCTCTAGGTTAGAAATACTTTTTCTTTATAAGTTTGAAGGCACTTTTTATTTATTATATTTTCTAGTTTCTAAGGAAACCCAGTTCTATTCTTATTCAAAATCCTGTTTCACACCTACATTTTTCTACAGTTGAAAATTTTAGAATTTTATTTTATTCTCAGTCTTAAAAATTCATGACAATCTGTTTTGGTTTGCTTTTTTATCCATCACACTAGGTGCTGATGGGCCCTTTCACTCTGGAAACACTTATCCTGAAATTCTGTTAAATTTTCTGTTATTATTTAATTTATAATTTCTGCTTCCTCATTTTATAAACATTTTCTCTTTTCTGCAATTTATATTAGCTAGATGAAGGACCTATCTCTTAGACTTATGCTATAATTCAATTATTTTCTCTTATAGAACTTCCATGTTTTTGTCTTTTAATCTATTTTCTGGGTGATTTTCTCAACTTTATCTTCTTAATCCATGTACTAAATTATCTTTTATCTAATAGCATATTTTTACTTGCAAGAGTTATGTGTTGCTTCCTGAATATTCTTTTTTACAGTATCCTATTTGTGTTTCAGATTGCATATCATTTTCCTTTCTCTCAGAAGATATTAAATGTAGACTTTTAGTGTTTTCTCCCCTGGTTGCGGTGTTATTTGTGAGTTCTATTTTCTGTTTGTTTCTTTTGATCTTCATCTTTCATGGTAGAGGTTTTCCACAAATATCTGGTGATCCCAGATTGTCCTCTAATATTGAAGAGTGAAGCTCTTAAAAGCTAATTGGAAGCTTTGCACACTTGGTATGTTTTATTGCAAGATGATCTGGCAACAAGCCAAAGAATATTCTGGAAAAATATTCTGGAGAAGAATATTCTGATCTTCTGCCTGGTGTATAGCTATGTTACCTTATATATAAAGACTTTGAATTTTCTTATTTTCAACACTAAGTCTGTTCAGTTTCTTGTCTGATACCTGGTGTCTCCAAGATTCTATGGAGGTCTGTGGTGTAAATCAATTTTCTTATCTCTTTGTAGCTACTTTACAATGTAGCTAATAAGGTATTTTGCAACGTATGTGTATGTAAACTACATCTTCTTTCCCTGTCTTCTAAATTTTTGCTGAAGTTTCTTATCTGCCTATGTCTCCTCTTCTAGTTTTTCTGTCCTTGCAAGCATATATATTTTAAAATTCCTTTTAGCTTAGTGAAGTCTTGGTTATAAGAATAGGTAAATCAGGAAGGTGGGAGATTAACTTCCGTGTTTAAAGAAAGCTTTTATTTTAATCCCACTCATCCTTTTAATCCCTTTTTAGTTGACCTATGAGCAAGTAGTTCTGCATAGTCCTGGGCACAGAACTACATCCTCCTTTTGGAAACACTCTTTTCTTTGGCTCCCCTGACATCATACTCTTCTGACATTTATCTTTCCACTTTGGTTCCTCTTTTTCAGTATTTTGAGGAGGTGTCACTTTCTCTACCCAGACACTCAGATTTACAGTGTTAGAGTTTTCCCCTAGGCCTGTTGCTCTTCTAATTGTGTGCTCTTTTTCTTTATCATCTTGTTCACCTTTCCCAATTCTCACTTATTTAACATAAGTTAAATGGAAAGTGGATGGCTATAAAAATTTTTTACATCTAACTC